TTTGATGCTGTTGGATTTATCTTGGCGACTCCCCGGTCGATTAAGGAATCGTCAGTATCAGAATGCAACTAGGATTCTTGAAACAGAACTTGACACTAGCCCGCAGACATTTCCAAATTTCTTGCAGTTCATCGACTTTAGGTATATAGGAGCGGCAGCTGGCTGACAGAATAAAGGGGACTGCCATTTCAGTTGTGGAGTGAGATCTAAGCGTCACTTGTCATCCAGCTGCAGCGGTCTTTATGAAATGACGGATGTGATGCTAAAGAATCGATTGGGGCATGCCGAATTTCGAATTCTTCGTAGAATATAAGATTACTGATGACAATGGTACAGTTTTGAGGTTCGATTTGAAAAATCCCAAGTTACAAATATACTATGGATCAGTGCAGAACGGAGCGGAGACTTTTATGAACCCAATTTTATTGCTCAATTTTCACACATTATTTGTATTGTTTGATTTTATTATGCTGTATGAATATACCTGTTAATGCGTTATATTGTTTCAGTCGTTTAGTTTGGTCATTTGGTAAATTATATTTCTTCTATATTTTTCAAATTCTATGTTCTTAACTATGGTTTGCAAAACTGCCTTCGAATATCCATATAGCGTTTTCTTTAATACTGTATACCTTGCTTGATTTATTTTTTTCTTTGACTGCAGAAGGGTAAGTACCTCACTGACTGAATGCCTTCTACTGGGGTTATATTATTCCCATTGATTATTGCAACATTATCTAATAACGTACAAGTTCGTCTTGAAAACATGAACGAATCTCTGCCGATCACGTTGAGAGGAATCTGCTACGTTTTCAGCCTGACTCCCAGAGGCGGAGGGACCGCAGATTTGCTTTGAAACTGAATAACTTTTTCAGATCTCACAGCGAGAGGTAAAATCGAGTTGTGATTAATTCATTTTCCGTTTTCAGCGGTAAAATTAAATGGAATTTTACCCTTTAAACTACAGCTGTACGGGGCTAAACCCTTTCTACATAATTCTGTTAAAAGTACGATATGATTTCACAACGCGTCATGCATGGAGCGACCTATTTTCTGTACGCCGGTGCGTGATTCAATTAACGCTCCGTATTTCTGGTAGTAACTGTATCTGTTAAAGTTCAAGAACACCATGCAAATTATCATCTCAAGTAATCCGGTCTTCCGATCCCTTTACATTCATCCTTACATATGTTATGAACTGATTAACCATAGTTTTAATTTAGAATGTGAACTTATTACTTCATTTTCGGTTTTTCATTTTCATGAATGAAAGACACGAAGGTTTCCAATACTACAATCAAAATATCTGACAGTATAGCATGCTAAAAATCTGTATAGCTTAATACCACTTTATGAAACAAAGCGCCTATGCTTTACACTGTGTCATGTAACAACAAACACAAATGACCATTCAGAAAGTGACACGGCCACAAAGTAGGGGAAAATTGCACAAATCGATCGAACAAAACCGTCGAATCACTGTTGAAGCTTCTTGTAGTGTTTGTTGAAAACGCCTGGAACCAAGGAAGTGCAATACATTACCGGCGTGATATCGCTATCTCGGCTGTAAATATGATCTGCCCAGCAAGCATGTATTTCGGCAACCCGCTGCTTCCAGGTGTTCCACCACTGGGCATCTGTATGCATCTGGACCCCGATGGTCGTTCCAAACTCACGAAATGCCAATCGATATCTGACCTTGCTGCTGAACTCGCCGCTGTCCCACAGGCTGTTGACCGTCCTCAATGCTTGGACATACAACTGTTTGCTCCTAAACAGATTCAAGTTGTGTTGGTTGCTAACCCAGAGAAAACAACAGTCTCTGACTGGAAGTAAACCTATTGTTGAGCAATGTCATTCAGCAGACTTAATGAAAGTCCGGAGCTGGTGGGCCACCTACTAGCATACAAACATTTTAATTTTCAGACGTCATTGAACTCGTCACAGTTTTCTGAACAAGAGACAATGGCGGCGTGCTTGTTGACCGCTTGCTCAAATTATCACCCTGGATTGTTTGCCTACGCAGAATTTCGTACTTGTGCTGTACGACCTTTTGTTTCAGCTATACACTGTTGCTATGAAGTACCGGTAACGACATGATACAAATAAAATTGTGCTCAAAGTCCAGCCTCCCGTCCGAGTCGTGAGGTCCTGACAACCTTCAACGTAAGGGAATGACCACGACAAAGCACGATGAAGTGTCATCTTCGCTGTCGCTACGGTTGCCGAGAAAACCCGCCATGAACCCTGAAACGAAACAGATTTCATTGCACAGGGAATACAGCAGAAAGGGCTGCCTACAGCAGTGGTATAGTAGTGGCAGTCAACAGAAATGAGACAAGTCCTCATAAAATGACCAAATCATTATAGCAAGGTAAAGTCCAGATACAAAAGACTTGGTCCCACAATAGTTGGTTGCTATGCAGCTATGGAAGAAATGATTTTATGCCACGATAAGTTTATTATCACAACAGTGGCTAACTCATTCTGTCTAAATTGTTGTGTTCAATTTAATTTTAACACGAAAATTACATCAAAAAATTAGCTATACAGATGCCTGGAATCACGCAGTATTGATGAGATGAATGATAACAGTTAAAGACGGG